AAACCTGCCGGACCAACCAATTAAGATGGAAGTGTTTTGCATGTTTTTGCTAAAAAAGCAGTGGTGCTATTTATACACAACCCATCATAACTTTTTTTCACTTATCATCATCAAATCACCGAATCAGTTGTAAAATAAATTTCAATAACCTCCATCATTATCACTTTTGTTTGTTGTTTCACCCCTGAACGCTATAATTACAGTAACCAAAGAAAAATAATTAAAATTTATTAACGTATACAAGAAAAAAAGTACTAGCTTGGAGTTGTTGGAGACAAAAAACAGAAATCCAAAATCTAGTATTTTTCTGCGTCGCGAAAAACGACGATTTATTACTGAATTGAAAAATTATATTATTCGAATATTTAAGTCAGAAAATTATTGACGTGTGAAATTTGAATTTTGAAATTAGTAGGCTATGTTGCAGCCATAGCAACAATTAGACCTGCGTTGCTAAGGAAACTTTTAAAGTAATCAAATAGCTATCAATTTAATTTTGTGATTTGATTTAAAAATTGTGAAAAAATGTCTGATCCCGAGTTTTCTTTGAATCCACCGGAATTAGTAGAAGTAGCATCACAAAAATTATAGCCAGCTATATCGCGGAAAATTTACGAATCCACGTATTCAAGATTCATGTTATGGAACATGAAAAAAAGATGCAGTTCTTTGTCGGAGATGGTGTATTGGCCTATTTTTCGGAATTGGCACAACAACAAAAGCCATCAACAGTGTGATCGAAATATTAAATGATTACGATACAATAATAATGTAGACATTTCAAAATATTTCAAACTAATTATATTTCTGAAACAAAATGGGAAAAGTTGCAAGCCCAAGAAAGCTGCAATTTTACACAAATTAGTGATTTTTTTAATAATGCTCCCGATGAAGTTTATTTAAGGTTGTTGTTGTATTTATGATTGCAGGAGCTTGTCGAATTTGTGAAATCAGTCAGGTAACATTAGATGATATTGAAGATTCGGGAACGTTATTAATGGTGAAACTTAAGGAAACAAAGAATGATGTAAACAGTAGATTTGTAGTTACTGAAAAGTATATTAAATTTTACCGAATCTACATAGCCCAATCAGGTTGTAAGTAAAAATCAGTATTATAAGGTTCCCGAAACAGTGGCTGATTTTCTTCAAGATGAAAATGCTAACTCTTATACAGGTAATTCATTTCGAAGATCGTCTGATACACTTTTAGTTGAATCTGGGGGAGACTTGACGACACTAAAGAAACCTGGTTGTTGGAACGGTCGCTGACGGGTATGTTGATGAAATGAAAAATAGGTAATAAAGTGTTTATAAGGTGTGGTAGTGCTGATATAACACCGGATTTGCGACCTAGTACATCAACGGGAGTTGTGATGGCAGAAAAACATATAATTTCAATACAAGAAAATTCGACTGTTGTACCGAATAGTTTAAGGAACGTGTCATTCATGCAATGCACATTTAACAATTGTACCTTTGCTATAATATAAAGGGGAGACCAATGAAAACGTGGGACAATGAATTAAACGACATCCTGCAAAGAAGAGGAGCCACCCAGGAGCAAGCTAGAAGGACAGCTAAGGATAAGAAACAATGGAGGAAGTTTGTATATCAAGTGTAGACTATTAAGACTAGTTAAGTTAAGTTCAAGAATGTACACCCAACACCGCAAGGTAAAAGGGTTAATGATTATATATATTTATATATACTAAGTGACATATAAATCCGAACACCCAGTTTAAATGGTTTTATTTTAATAAAAGTTGGTGAATGTATTTATCTTACTGTAAATAACAAGTGAAAAAGTTTTCAGCCTTATCAGTTGGACATTCCGGTTTTTATACTGCCTTTTTTAATTCACTAACGCTCTAAAAATGAATATTTCAGCCGCAGTAAAGAATCAACGTTGGCGGATTTTGGTTCTTGACATCCTTTACGATCGGTTACGATGCTTAGAGTACGAAGACCTGTACGATTTCGTCAACTTAGTGAGTTTGACAGGGGCCGTATAGTGGGACTTCGGGAAGCTGGACTTTCTTTTCGGGCAATTGCAGTTAGAGTGCAAAGAAGTGTAGACACTGTGGTTAGGTGTTGTAGAACAACAGACCGTGAAGATCGCCGCCTAAGATTATAGGCCTTAAGGGACCGTTTCTCCACTACTAGGTCCATTGCAAATGAATGGTTTGCAGAACACGGAAGACCTATTGGCATGCGAAGTGTTTACCGACGAATGAGAAGTTTTGGCTTGTGTTCATACCGGCCACACTGGGTCCTCCCTTTAACTCGAGAACGCCGACGTAATCGCCTTGAGTAGTGCAGACAACGGTCACTCTGGGATCAGGAATGGAACAGTATTGTCTTTAGTGACGAGTCTCGATTTTGTTTAGGCATGCACGATGGTCGTGCCAGGGTTAGAAGACGACGTGGTGAATGGAGGAATCCACAGTCTTTTGTTGAAAGACATGTTCATCACACTGATGGAGTTATGGTTTGGGGTGCTATAGCTTATGGTTCCAGGTCACCTTTAATCTTCATCAGCTTAAGCCATTAATGCACCAGAGCCGATGCCTTTACAACTTTAATAAAGCTGACTTTTTCAAAAATTTTTGAAAAGCTGATTTATGATCCTATCTTAAACATTACAAAAAATATCATTACGGAACACCAGCATGGATTTTTCCCTAAAAGATCTGTAGAGACGAATTTGATGAGTTTTATAGAATATGCCTCTCACGCAATAGATGAGAAACTGCAGGTGGATGTTATTTATACCGACTTCAGTAAGGCTTTCGACAAGATTGATCTCTATCTTGATGGAGAGTCTTGCTGAGGTGGGTGTAGATGGTAGATTATGGCAGTGGCTAGCATCGTATATAAGTAATCGTAAACAAGTGGTGACTATCAATGGGTATCGTTCGGAGACATTCTTAGTAACTTCAGGTGTACCACAAGGTAGTCACTTAGGACCATTGTTAGATATTTAACATATACATGAACAACCTTACTTCTGTTTTTCATTTCAGTAAATATTTGTTATATGCTGATGATCTAAAGATATGTACTATTGTTAGAAATGTAAATGACGGTGTAAAACTTCAAAGCGATTTGGAATCTCTGCAAAAGTATTGCACTGAAAACAGTATCTTCCTGAATTTAACAAAATGTCATTACATGAAGCTTACTAGAAACATAGCGAACACTATAGATTTCAGATATAAGATAGGGACGGCAGAACTGGAAAAGCTTCATGTAGTAAAAGACCTAGGGGTATACATTGATGAGAAACTCTCATTCATCACCCACGTAGAGCACATCGTAAATGATGCAAATAGAACACTAGGGTTCATAAACAGGACATGCAGAGAATTTACGAACCCAAAAACGCTTCTTTCATTGTACTACGCTTATATACACAACAAACTGATGTTTGCATCAGTAATATGGAATCCGTCTTACAGTGTACATATAGTCAGGATAGAAATAATTCAACACAAATTTTTGATGATGTTAGCACATAAAACTCACCAACCTGTTACAGATCATCATTATACGCAAATTATGAAACAGTTCAATATGATTCCCTTAAAAGATAGGAGAACGATTTCTGAGATTTGCTGTGTCCATAAATTGTTGAATGGCCTCACTGACTGTCCGGATCTTTTGGCAAACTTGAACTTTAACACTCCTGATAGAACGTTTAGAACCTATCATCTGTTTAGAATACCGTTCCTTAGAACCAATCTTGGTCTTAATTCCCCTTTGGTCAGGGCTCAAAAAATCATAATAATTTCTGTAATATAGATTTATTTAACATTAGCTTGACCTCCCTGAAAAAGGCTTTAAAGTATGAGTATTACAGCTCTATGGCAGACTAAAATAGAAATGTTTTATTTTTTTACATAACTCAAGTTATCACCTCCAATATCATTTCTGGTATAATTTCAATTTAATTTTGATTTCAGTTTTAATTAAACGTAAGTAAATGTTAAATTATGTATACTCCTTTTATTAAAAAAGTTAAATTAATAGTTTATTGCTTATAATTAGAACTACTCACTCAGTTTATGTTGTTACAACAATATCGGAGGATAAAAAAATATTAATATTGAAGTATTCAATAATGTAATATATGTATATGTATACGATATTTTATGTAAGTTTAGTTTTAGTTCACTGAGGGTGTGTGTTGGGTTTACCTGTTAACACCCCAAACTGTATATAAATAAATAAATAAATAAATAAATCAGAGGTAACATGAACGGGCAGCGTTATATCCACGAAGTTCTAGAACCCCTTCTTTTACCCTATCTTGACACCCTGGCAGATCCAACTTTCCAACAAGATAATGCCCGACCACATGTTGCAAGAGTCACAATAGACTTCTTTCAACATAATGCTGTCACATTGTTACCATGGCCACCAAGATCTCCCGACTTATCCCCAATTGAGCACGTGTGGGATATGATGGGTAGGAGATTGCTCAATTTGCAACGTCCTCCTCAGACTCTAGAAGCACTTCGAGAGTAGTTGGTGGTTGCCTGGAATGAGATACCACAGGAGGACATTGACCACCTGGGCTTTAAAGCAGTGCAATCATTTTGAAATTTTTATCATTTACTTATTATGCTTCATTAAGTACTTATACAAAATTTTATTAAAATAAAACCATTTAAACTGGGTGTTCGGATTTATATGTCACTTAGTATATATATATATATATATATATATATACCTTTGCTATAAAGGAAATGTAACTTTATTGTATAATAAAATATTCTAAAATTAAATATCTATCTTTGCTTATGTGCTTATACAATATCCGGGGAAAAAGTATTTTTTTCCCGGGGAAAAAGTATTTTTTTCCCGGGGAAAAACGGAATTTCATAAAAAGTGACAACTTGTTACCTGTCAACTGAGATAATATGTCAAACTTGTTTCCTGTCACAGAAAAAACGAGATTTTTAAGGTGCGTATATATCGTTTGCCTCCAGATTATTATTAAGCACTAATTACAGCTCTGCTGCTAGATATTAAGTGTGTGACGTTACGTTGCTTTACCTGTAATTCGTTGATGGCGACCCACGAATTGGCTGGGAAACCCTGCAACATTGGGACCAGGAACTGCAAGCAACCGGACCAGTGCCCAATCAACAGCATCATACAGATCAGGTTGAATATCCGCATAAACACGCTGGCCATGTTGAGAAACTGTAACAGAAAACTCAGTAATGAGATAATGAACATGCGCTCAAGAGCGTTTCGTGTACCTATCTAATTTCAAACCTGCTAACAGATGAGATTATTTTCTTTGTTCCAACGGAGCATCAGATACGTGAGTCAGTCTATCAGCTTTACTCTCTAACAGTGTTCAGAAAAATTATACAGTGTTTCCAAGATAATGATGTCGTACTGCTACTATGATCTCGAGAAAGGTAAAGGTACTTGCACATTGCTTTTATATGCCATACAGTGACCGGGTACCTAGCCCAAATGCATTATCCAAATTTTTGGTAAGTTGCGCTTGCTAGGATTTCTGTCACTGTTACTGTGAAATATTTAAATTTATCGAAAATAACAAAAATTGAGGGAGCACCGTCATTCGACAGGAAATGTTGATATCTGCATTGTCAAGATATTTCTCAAACCCCGACATTTACATCACTGACGAGCATCAAAAACTCAGTTTACTTTCAATACATTGCCAATTGCAATACTTGAAGTTTCTTATCAGACAAATGGTGAGGACTTTTTTCAAAACTTCGTTCGTGATTTATTTCATTTTGTGCCCTTATTTTATACATAATTTTCAATGCTCCAACAAGGTCAAAGTTCTGTAAAAATGTGCCAGGTCAATCGATCGTTTAACGTTTTCCTTACTCGACCAACATTGTAACCATAACCGTCTCGAGAGTATACTGCTGTCACGTCATCATCTTGAATACTTTGTAAATTTTGTCACAATAATTTATTCCTTCATTCAAAAACATTTCCATCGTCAAACAAAAAAGGTAAAAGGCCAAAATGGACATTCTCCTTTCACGGAAGTATATTATCAGCAATACTGGCAATAAATATTCACACCTGTTAACAGTTTAGCAATTTCAAATCAGTAACTAAAACTATAATTAAACCATAATGTGTAAATTGATACAGATTGCCAAAAATCATTACTCCTGTCTAACATGGATATCAAAACCAATTGGTTACCTAGAGTATAGTGTAATTAATTTCAGACAACATGTATATTTCGTAAATTGCCAATTGTTAAAGAAGAAAAATTTCTGGACGGTCTCCAGTGAATACCAGTGCGGGCATTTTTGACCCTGAAGTGAAAAACCCGTTTGTATAGTATTCACTAAAAGAAACATTATTTTCAACAGTTAAAAAATTAGTTGACATCGAGCAACACTACAAATATTAATTTAGTGATATGAGATTGTCAAAAGTATTACCTATGTTTTGTAACTGTTGAAAATAGGTCATGTGTTGCTCGTAAGTGGCGATTGAGATAAGAAATGGTATTCAAAAGAGCCGTCAAGCAAAATAAAAGTACAATAAACAGTTCATCAACATCGCTGACTGAGACAAACTCCAATTTCCATCTCATCACTTGGTATCACCAAATACTTCAGATGGGAAACGGTAAAATTTCTGCCCAGCAGACGATGCTTTTGAGGTGATTACCCTCCACTTCCTATGAAATACCCCATTACCGCAAATAAAATAAACTAAGATCCAGAAAATAAACTCCAAAAAAGCAACCTCCTCTTCCTACTCAAAGAGCTTAAAAGCCAGATCCAAAGCTGTGAGCTTTCCAAAAGCATTAGTTAAGCGTTAAATCGGATTAGTTATATGGGAAAAACTTTACACCAGTATGTGTAGACCTTTCAAATGTAGCAGAGGTTTACCGTGGTCAATAAAATTATAAGAAATAATTTTGCGAATAAGACAAAGATAATGCACCACATCTCATCTATCATCATGGTTATTCCTGCACAGTTTATAATCAAGTTAATAAGGTGGGATATAGGCAGAAGGACATATTTTGGCCTTGGTTTTTAGCTATATAGATCTTGATCCGCTAATCTTGGATAATACCAAAAAGCTTCATTTGGTTCAAGCTGTTGTTCCATGTCGAATTTAAACTTCGTCCTTATCATCATGATTAAGACATAAAATAAGCTTAACCACTATCCGATAAGTGTCTTTTGGGACACCAATGTTTAGATATTCGATAATGTATGTAATCTGTGCTCTGGAACATGAGACTGATGATAATAACTATAGCCTGCAAGAATTGTTGCAAAATTGGGCTCTGTACAGGAATAATCACGAGAAGAATTTGACACGATGAAACTGTTCTATTCATAAACAGATGACTAAATCAATGTCAATGAATCCGATGGCTGTTTCGTAAACAAGCAGAGTTTCGGTTAATCGTTCATGAAATCACTGTGGTGTAAAGTTCTTATGATAAACGGTATGTAAATGTATTTAAGTGTAACCTATAATTTCTATATATGTGTAATGGGCAACTACCTAGAATATCAAAATCGGAAACATATCTTCGTGTAACCACAATATTCCGATTAGCTGATCTTTTAGTATATGACCAGCACCTGCGTACGATAGGATGATGATGATGGTTGTATTATTCTGCTGATGTTTCTAAATATGCTAACCGTCATGCATTCCAGTTTTCCACTGACTTACCTGGTCATCAATTGGACTTTCGTCATGCACTAGAAAACATAGACACGTTGCATGCCTATGTATACTATTTACGTATCATACCTTTGTACGAGGTGTGTACTAGTCATCAATACATGATGAATTAGAGGTACCCAAACTGAGAAGGGTATTTACAGTACTAGTTTGAGTGAAATACGTGCTGGGACTATGTAAGACTTCATGGGTGTTGTGTACTTTGCAACCAGGTAGATGTGCAACGTTCACATAATAGTCTTGTTGAAGGATATAATCAGTTCTTCAAAAGGAAAACAGTGCAGTGTGCTTTAGTCAAATAATGTAATTTTCAACAGGTTTTCGTATTAAATATTGGACTGTTGTAATAAAATAAATAAAATTCTTAGTTGCAATACTTCAAATTAGCATTTTTCTTGGAATGCAACGTCACCATTACATCACCATCCACAAGTGTTGGAGGTTACGTGGTTCTGATAAGGAAACAAAAAATGACTTCTGTCGCTTTCGATGATTGTGAATCTGTGAAATCAGTATTTTGATAATTCATTCCCATCATCACATACGTTTCAGCTACTACGAGAGTCATTAAAGTTAAAATAGCATTTTGTGTTCTGTTCAAATGCCGCTGTGGCACCCGAAACATCACCAAGATCATTTGTCGAGCATAGTTTTCAGTATCCCTCAGGTGAAACACCACTGGTCATAGCGGTGACTACCAAATAAGTCTCCAAAGGTAAATTAGTGACAGGAATAATTGGTACTGGTGATGATGGTTTTACCAGATAGTCTTATACAGGTTCACCACTGACTAGGGAGGTCGAAAAGATGCATATCGCAGCTAAGGCATCATTTGTTTTAAAAGTAGCTACCTGTACGTTGCTACCCCCTGATTTCTTAATATAGTGGGAAAATGCCTGAGTATCAGGATGGAAATTAGTCGTTAAACGAAGCATCATTCTATAAACCTTACTCTTTTCTTCAAAGATCTTGATATATAGATACATACCGCAATATGTTACTGCATTTATGTGCCACGATTCTAACATATATTACCGATGAGCAAGCACAGCTGCTTCATTTCTGCTGAAAATAAAAAGTGCCACGAAGCGTAATGATACTTTCAGTAATATACTCGGATACAGACTCACTGATTTTTATATCGACCTCCACTTATAGGTACAGAATCTCGACACAGTAAAAAATGATAATAGCGATAATGATATTTTGGGTAACGTACTCGGATACAGATTCACTGATTTTTATATCGGCCTCCACTTATAGATACAGAATTTCGACACAGTAAAAAATGATAATAGCAATAATGATATTTTCGGTAACGTACTCGGATACAGATTCACTGATTTTTATATCGACCTCCACTTATAGATACAGAATTTCGACACAGTAAAAAATGATAATAGTGATAATGATATTTTGGCTAATGTACTCCGATACAGATTCACTGATTATTATATCCACCTCCAATTATACACACAGCATTTCGGCACAGCTAAAAAAATGGTTCGCTTTTGTTGGTTATGTTTATTTGCGATAGGAGCTTTGTGTTAAGTCATCCAGGATCATCTTTACAAACATTGTAATAGGTAGGTATGTCTGCTTGCGAGTACCTCACTGTATTACGGTACCAAAATTTATCACAAAATAGTGTGAGAAGCTCTATCGCTAGCTTGTGCATTTGCAGATTTACAAGAAACATTGCAAGAATTATGCTATTTACATCGCATCACAACTACAAATATATTGCACTCAAATTCGTTACTCTGTAGTGAGAAGGGAGCACGTCACTCTACCTGGTTGGTCTTTTTGTTTTGCTATTAACTAGTAATATCGAGGAAAAGGGAGTGACAGTAAGATTTATTGCCAGCTGAAGTGTGGAAGTTATATATGTTTTATCTTTGGCAAACGCATTATTCTATTTGAGATAGTTGCGCAGACAAAGGAAAAAGGATACGAATAACTGTAATAAATTATTGTATATATTTATTTGACACCCTGTTCCTCGATTAACAAAAAGAAAGCTAGATTTATGGAGGAAAAGTTTTATCATAATAGACACTATTTAATAGATAAGCGTGCCTGGAGATTCTACTGTTTGTAGCGCCTCTTTGAAGCTAAGATCACCGATTTTCGTTCGGCGTCAGCTAATTAGACTGTGAGGCTTTAAATACACATCACTTTATGTATTGTTTAAAGAAGTGTGTCACGTTATCTTTTTCCAAAATTGCTCCTGTTAAAGAACAACAATATTAAAGGATGGATTAGCAATAATTCATCAAACATCACTGAAACCTCTTGGAGCCACATGGCACGAAATGAAAAATATGCAACTTGACATAAAGAATTTGAAATGGACCCATCTGACATGTGTTGATATGCTAATTGCCAAATACTCGGCTGCTCATGGTGAAGAAGTCAATAGTGTAAGTCTGACAACCTCCGTTGTCATTTCACATACTCTCGTTTCTTCTCCGGGTTGCCAGATTGCGTACTAATTTTTCATATAAAAAGTGTTTATATTTTGCAACAGCCTTTTTTATACTGAGAGTTGTAATTATTGGCCTTTTTGACAGCATTAAAATCATATTATATATCTCCGCATTGTCGAACAAATAAGTTATTTGTCTTATTTTCAAGAAATACCACTTTTAATTCAAATTACTTTTACAAAACTTTGGATATGAATTGTATTTCCAACACTTTCTGAAAAAATTAAGTTCACTAATTTCGTTATTCCAATCGATTCCATTGGCTCTTGCTCATTAAATTTATATACAATGCCTCTCTGCTCATTTTCAAAACTGGTCACGTTAGCAAGTTGAAATTCAAGAAGATGAAATTGGTGCGTAGTAATATTTGAGTTATGTAAATATCAAAATGCTACAAGATGCACTATCAATCTTCTTCTCTTGCCTTGAAGAAGAATAAAACAGGAAACATTCCATTATAAAATTTGGCAATTTTGTTCAATCTGAATGTCACATATTATACAAGCTGTTCGAAAAGTAGAGGGTGATTCCTTGTTGAAAAAGATGAAACAAGTTTTCATAAACATGGGGCTGCAAGTGCAGAGTGGATGAATTACAAAAAAACTATATTTTTTATTAAGTAAAAATATTCACTCGCTTTTGTTGAAATTTGGCAATATTATTTGTTGTATCAAGAGGCCAATTTATCTCTAAATAGATTAAAATTATTATCGAATTATATTACCAAAAAATTTACGTCATTACCTTTTTTGTAACTTTAATTTTTAGTGATTGATTAAGTATCTAAAAATACAACTTTTTTGCCTCTTGTATTTTTTCATTTCTTCTTCTTCTTTTAGAGAAAAAAATAAAAACCGTTTCATTGCTGGTCAAAATCGGTTTATTAATTTTTGCTAAAAAAAATCACAAAGAATCATTTCTGCATGGAGGTTTGACATTTGCGTGGCAGTTCTTCAAGAAGAGAATTATTCACCTAATTTTCTTTGCGAAATTTCTACATACTAAAAGTTTTTTTAATTTATCTTGATACGTCTGCATTTCTGGACCCATGTTCATAGAAACTTTTTTCGTGTTTTTCAACAAGGAATCACCCTCTAAGATATTTCTCTATTCACTCTATTCACATATTGTGCATTCGGATAAACTTTTCCAAACACAAATATAGTCTACATCCAGCATCGAAGATGGAAGAAATTCCAACCGACGGCGGCCTTTGGACCCGAATCAAGACAGTAGTTTTATACTATGGGGTTGTTTCCAAAACGGACGCAGGACAGTAAACGCATATTAAAACAAGAAAGATTGATATTCAAATCAAGTTGGGTACTTCATTTTGAAGGTTCATTTATACCATTTATGTATGAAAAATAATATCGCTCAAATGTTCACCACGACTGGATTTACAGACGTCCACGCGATGGTCGAAATTTTCAATTACATTTTGCAACATGGTCGGTTCTATGGCATTTATCTCGGCAATGATGTTGTTTTTGAGTTCTTGGAGGGTGGCTGGTTTGTTGACGTAGACTTTGCTATTCAAATATCCCCATAAAAAGAAGTCCAAGGGAGTCAAATCGCACGATCTTGGTGGCCATGGCACATTCCCTCTGCGCGAAATCACGCGATCACCGAAGAAGGATTGCAATCGATGGATATTGACGTTGGTTGTGTGGCATGTTGCACCGTCTTGTTGGAAATAAACATCATCCATATCCATTCCTTCAAGTTGCGGCAAAAAATAGTCCTCTATCATCACGTGATATCGCTCAGAATTGACGGTAACGGCGTCCCCGGCCGCATTTTCGAAAAAGTAAGGTCCGATGATGCCTTTTGACCACAATGCACACCACACGGTCACTTTTTGAGGATGCATCGGCTGCTCTTGATACTCACGGGGATTTTCGTTCGCCCAGATGCGGCAGTTTTGCTTGTTTACCGTCCCATTCAAAGTGAAATGCGCTTCGTCGCTGAACATGGTTTTTGATGAAAAATTGGCATCAATTTGGCGGTGTTCAAGGAGCCAATCTGAGAACGTTCGGCGCAAAAAATAGTCAGCCCGACGCAGCTCTTGCGTCAATTGGATCTTGTAGGCGTGTACATTCAAATCCTTGTGGAGAATGCGGAGCAAACTGGTTCTCGAAATGCCCAATTCTTGGAATCGACGCGTTGTGGATTGTTTCGGATCGTATCTCACACTCTCCTTCACAACAGCAATATTTTCCAGTGTACGAACGCTCCTTGGGCGGCCAGAGCCTGGCAGATTTGCCACAGAACCTGTTGCCTCGAATTTACGCACCAGACGACCGATGGTTGTTTCGTTTGGGCGGTTGTTGCGACCGAAATGTTCACGAAGCGCGCGAAACGTGTTTTTTATTTTTGCACCATTTTTGTAGTGCTCTTGAATAACTTCAATCGAATACGACTCCATAGCGATCAACGGTGAACATTCAACTAACAAAATGACATGTCGGTGACAGAAAACAAAGATGGCGTCTATGTCAAATTGACGTTTACTTTCATGCGTGCCTATTGGACAACCCTATATTAGTTTTGCGCCAAGACATCAATTATATGTCGTTGTATAAAACTATTCTAACCTGACCAGTTGCAAAAATAAGTAGGAATGCAAGACTGGCACACAGTAAAGCCGTTTTGTTCCTCCACGCATCTAGTCTCCTTTTCGATACCAGGTAGTGATGTGTAACTGAATTGTGATTATGTACAGAATAGCGAGAATAATAAGCTGAGGCGCCTTGTTGGGCATGCGCTTGGCTGGCTTGGTTAACGCAGAAGTACAAAGCGTCCGGTCGAGCCGGGAAGCGGGTTACCTTAAAGATGAGATTGCTTTTGGTGCTTTTAAACTTGTTGATGTCCGAACTGAGCCGCCCCCTCCGTTCTGTACGCTTTTTTTGGAGATTCTGCAAGATCTAGAAAAAGCGAAGAACAAAAGGTAGTAGAGAAAAGCGAGGCGTCGACGATTATTCCAGCAGAACGTCTTAAATCATAGACAGGAATGGGTGAAAGTGATCACCCACACTGGACGGTGACCACGCGTTTTCAGATTATTCTCGTGGCTTGTGTCAAGTGTGTGTTCGGGAAAGATGCGTTCTGACCCAGATATAACTGTTTCGAAACGTTAGTGTTCTGTTTGAATGATATTGGTACTCAAGTTTCTGTATGTCCGATCTAATATTGACAATCATTTTGTTGTACTAAAACTCATGAGTGAGTACAAATTATTTATGACTAAGATCTCGACTGGATTGCATTTACAGTCCAAAATATGTTACCTAGAAAATAGGCGCATTTAGTCAACGACAGCACCTTAGATCAGTATCTAGATATTTGAATCGCATGAACACCGATACTGAACGCTAAAGTGCAGTTGTTTCTCGAAAGAGTCAAATTTCACAAGATCAGGGAAATTTGGGACAGTTATTCGTTCTAATGTGTGGGTTTCTAAGACAGGATTTCAGTTCCTACTGCTCTTTGATGCCCCATGTGTTTATCTTATTAAATAACCTTGCTCCATATTTTGTTTATAAGAAAAATATGTTCATTAGATTCTGAGACAGTTTCTACACAAACCACCTCAACATAATAAGGAATTTTAGAAAAAAGCAGGAAACCTGCAATGTTAATTGCGCAAAGAACAAACTTTGACGAAAAAAGATATTTATCCCTGTACCCCGCACATAGGAATAATAATTTTAAAACATACTTATGTGACATGAGACTGGCAAATTTATTTAATGGCCCATATGTTCCGACACCGTTGAATAAAACCGATATTTACACATATATGAATCTGTAAAAGTCTGTGTATCTGTAAAACTACTTCTTGATCCTGCATTTTATTTGTCAAACTTGGGGCAAAGGTACAAGCTACATAAATTGTTTGTGGGAGACAAGTTATCAAAATAGACATTTTTAACTAAGGTACCGTTACAATTGTTACACCAGTCTGAGTGACTAGAGATCAAAAGACGTCCATCTGTTTCACTTTCACTGGTGTAACCGTTCCGCTTAGATGCATTTTGACCAATCAGAATATTCAACAGAACTCACAACTTGAAGGCACTACATGGGTTAGGTATTATATCAGCCCCTAAAAGATGTACGTATTGCGGTTTTACACTAGAAATAGTATATCTTTCTTGGAGTGTCGCCATTACTTGACGTTTCTTATAGAGAAGGCAGGACTCCATCTTAATGGATGGTATAAATTATGAAGCAAATACTGAAACATAACAAAACAAGCAATGATGAGTCAGGATCCGTATGCTTTGTATGAATAGATACCCTATCAGAATTTTGAAATGATAACACTGAACTGTTGTAACAGAAAAGCTACAGTTTTGGGATTACCATGTTTTGATCGTGTTTTAAATTTTCCATAATTGAAAGTCACAGAACACTAACGTCTCTAGACAGAAATAAGAGTAACGATCAGGTTCAGATTGAGTAGAGACTCCTAAACATAGACAATCACTCAGTATAAAGAATGGTGCAATGTGAAGCGAAAAGCGTGCATGCTGTAACATTAATACAGGTGAAAAGCAGATGAAAAAACAAAAACAAAACAACAAGCTAAAGCTAGGTAGCACTTTGCTATTTCATTACATATCAATCGCTATCTATATACACTGGATTTATTTTTTTGGTAGTATGGAAAGATTGCTGTTCGATTTTTACAATCTTCATTGCAGAAAATCAGTTTTCACAATTTGTTTTTCCATGGTGAACCATAAGTAGACGATTATATTATCAATATCGATTGTTAAGCTCTTACAGTAGGTGTTTTGACAAGGTGAAAGGCTTAAATGAAATTTCTCCTCAAAATACACTGCTCAATATTTACATCAGATTTTTCTTTGAAATCCCTGTTATAAGTATTAGTTGATGCTAATTTTCACTATTATTTCCTGTCTCAAATAGGAGATTGATAATTATAGGTTGAGGAATAGTAAATATCTTTAAGTCCTTCCTCATTCCTGTTATACGAATTCTGTTAATAATTGCAAAGATAATCGTCTACGTATAGGGCATCAATCCTCTATTTTAATTTTTGGTTTTCTGGTTCGTGTAGATGAATATAGCTATAAATTCGCTGATCCATTAGTATTGGATATTTTCCTATGGTAGATCTTAAGACCTTGCTCGTACTTTGGAACTATGGAATCAAGAAAACTGCGTTGTATATTCACAGGGTGAGTTTTCAGTGTGTAATCTACCGATAAATCCATTATTACGAAAGATTCCGTGTTTGTTTTGCCACTTTGTTATGAATCACGCTGTAGAGACAGGTAGGAAGCTTTTAGAGATCTGTCGACTGATTTCGCACCAAAAACGCAACCTGTGCATATATCTAATTTCCTTTAGTGCATGACGCAAGTAACCTTTAGTGTTATCTAAGAGAACCCTTGAAGTGAACATTCGTTGCTTTACAACCTAAAGAAAATTCATCTACATTATGCACTTCTATTATTTTTATTCACAAATACATAACATTCACTACGGCAAAATGCGTTCAAACGCATATCAAGAGGCACAGTTATATTCAAACAGTAGGTATCAGTTTGTTTTTATATACATTTGTTGTAGTTGTCCGTTCTATGTACCTACCATCTCGACCTAAACTAAACATTTTGATGGTATTGTTCTATATTTACCTGCCTTGAATAATTTTAATTTCTGCAATATACGTATATATTGCATCAAGATTAATATTTTTTTAACAAGACATCTTTGAGTTGACATTGACGACACATTTTGACCACAAACCATCTGATAGACGATTGTCAACGAAGCTAAACAATTTTCCTCGAGAATAACAGCTAATGAAAATTAAAATGTTGAACTATTGGTCTACCCTTGACCTTCGCTGGGATACACTGGGTGTCTCCAATTTGATCTCGCCATTGGGACCTTGGAAACGTAAAAAATACCTAGGTCTGTCAAACGGAATATGGCACTTAGAAAAACAGTACTTATTTTTTTAGATTTCATTTGGGGTGGAATTTAAAAATAAACTGTATATTGACATAGGTGTCCCAACAGCCTTTGCGAAGTTGAGTTCCTGCCTGAAGATGTATCAATGCACCTGCGAAATCTGAAGACCTCTTCCTCCCCTGGTAAAGATGGGATGACGGCTGCTGTACTTAAAAACTGCGTTTCAGCACTGGCCTTACCATTAAGCTTGATATTCATATCGTCTTTTAGATCTCATAACCTACCCTCATGCTGGCTTAGTGCTTCTGTTACCCCTGTATTCAAAAAGGGCGACAAATCCTCCGCTAAAAATTATCGACCAATAAGTCTCGTTCCTATCGCCGCCAAAATAGCTGAAAGAATCATATGAGATATGCTCCTATCATTTGCTTTCGAAAATGACCTTATCCCTAAGAATCAGCAAGGATTTCTCCCTGGTCGATCAATAGTGACCAACCTTCTCCACTCTCTCAACGATTGGACTCAGTATCGGGACACAAAGACTCCTATTGATATAATCTATTTAGATTTTTCTAGGGCTTTCGATCGCGTACCACAGAGAAGGCTTCTGTTTAAGTTGGAATGTATGGGAATAAGAGGCGAGTTGTTACTGTGGATTAAGGCTTTTCTCACCGGGAGGACTTTCTCTGTGCGCGTCAGTGATAGCCAGTCTCACCTTCATCCTGTAGCAAGTGGAGTTCCTCAAGGCTCTGTCTTGGGGCCAGTGATGTTCCTTCTGTATACAAGTGACCTGCCCGTATTGATTTCCTCCAAATGTTCAGATTATGCCGACGACACCAAGATTTACAATACTGTCGTCAATTCTGCTATGCTTCAACGAGATCTTGATATTGTTTGTCAATGGTCAGTCAGTTGGCTTTTACCCTTAAATCTAACTAAGTGTTGTGTCCTTCACCTCGGGAAGACAAATTCGCGATTTACATACAAGATCTGTGACCACGACATCGAAGCAGTTTCCAGCAGTTTCCACACTGATCTGGGCGTTGTAGTCAACGATCGTCTTTCCTGGTCAGAGCATATTCACCACGTTACATCAAAAGCCAAGAAACTTCTATACATGCTGGAGAGGTCTTTCAAAGGATCCGATCTCAACACTTGCGCCTACATTTACAAGGCATTCGTGAGGCCAATTCTTGAATTCGCTGCCCCGGTATGGGACACTGTGCTTCTGCGCGATAGAAATCTCGTCGAATCAGTACAGCGTCGGGCCACTCGTATCCCTTTTGGAGCACGAAGACCAAGCTATGAAGATCGCCTTGAATTATTCAACCTGACCTCATTCTCTGAGCGAAGACTTCGTGGCGATCTTATAGTTACGTTCAGGATACTTCATGGTTTGATGGGCACCAACCTCATGCATCTATACCGTCTGTCGAGCAGCAGTCTACGCGGACACAGCTTCAAACTGCATAAGGAGCCATTTAAAACAACAGTCCGACAGTGGTTTCTTCCCAACCGCATATTCAACACCTGGAATAGTTTACCTGAAAGTGTGGTTGGTGCTACTTCAGTTAATAGCTTCAAAGTGCAGTATGATAGCTGGAGGAGTGTACAAACTTTATAGCTATGAACTGCCTTTTTTTATTTTTTTCTATTTGATGTATTTGTGTTACGTGTCCGTACACTATATTTACTGCATGAGCTTATAGTACTGTGTACTCTGCTCATCTCAATTATCATAGTAATAATAATAATAATTCCACTGCTTATCCCCTACAAGGTGACATACTAGAATTTCAATCTGACGTTTTGTTTCTCGTCCTTCACCGTTCGCTTTTTTGTTATGGACATCACATTAGACTTAAGTGCAGGTCGATGAGTTGGTTAATTAAATTCCAAAAATGCATAATATGCTATACATTGTAATCGGAAAAAAATATATATAAAATACTCAAAATCGTCAACGCATATACTT